TCCATATAGTCGTTCGCGGTGCATATGATTACCTACTAGATAAAGAGTATTTCACAAAGACACCGAATATTGAAATGGTAAAAAAAATGACGTTATGAATGCTTATTTCAACCACTGTATCATCTTCTCATCAATAAACTGTCATATCGAATCACCGATCAAATTGCATGTTGAATTCATGATGACCAACAGTTAAGTGGATGAACGAACTGTGCAAGTGATTACGGACTATACACAATTCTTCATAGGAGATGAAAAGCAACAAAGCTACTAACACATATTTAGTCCTGAAGCAAATGGAAGTTTCTTACACTATTCTATAGATGATCATTCTATCACGTAGAGAAATGAATCGTGATGGTCATTCTGAAAGTAACGTTTGCTTAATTTCAGTTGCGTCCAAGTACCACGGTAACATGTTATTCCCTTACGAAAACGACTAAAGATACCGTTTATTTTCGCAAAGTTCCTGACCTACAATTGTTCAAGAAGTTGACTATGAGAAGCACAGAAACAAATGACTTACAATTTCAGAATCACATAATTATCAATGAACTAGGGAGATATATTTTACAAAAGAAAACTAAGAATATCGAGAAAATATTCAAAAGTACGATTCAACGAATATTCAGATAGTTGCAATAAATGTGAAAGGAATATTCAAATCAGCACATTCGAAGGTATGAAAATTAAATTGCAATTAACAGCTGGGTCTGTTTGATGGTTTGAACGCATTAATGCAAAGAGCCGTCAAGTTGCTAATTCAAAAAAGTTCATGACTTCGTTTTTCAATATGCATAAATTGATGTACACATTATATTTTCAGATAATAAAACAGTCACGCTGCACGAAATTACAAAACTGATTTTCTCAAGAAACAATTCCAACTTATCCAATAATGTGTTTAATGAACTTTAAATGTATTGAGCTTTATAGTATACAGTTTCGAAAAAATGAATGAGTCAACGATGGCTCTGAGAGGCTTTCATATGAGCTTTTCGATTTTGGTTTGCTTCTCATCGGGTGCATAGATAAGGCCATTGTATAGACGATAAAAGCATTCATGGCAGTATGGCTTACGATCGTGTTCGCGGTAAGTGCCGCGAAGGTTAAGAGCCTGAAATTGCAGTAAAATCTGATCAAATTCCTTATCACCATCTATACTGTGTTTTGAAATAGGCAGTAGAACATATCCACAGGAATTTGTGAAGAAATGTTATCCAATATTAAAAATAGTGAATTTTCTTCGGAAGTACGAAAGGACAGAAGAATGTAGAGAAAACTTCAAGCCAATGCTTCGATTCATAATCTCTATTTTTCACTTAATTCCACCAGAATACGTTGGAATTTGCAGTGTTGATGCAATAATGATGTTTAAGAAAAGAATCGCATAGTGCGATAAGTAACCTTTTGACAGTAGGCACACATGAAGTGATAAGTATGAAATTTCTGGGCACGATTTGAGTTTGGTGCAAGGGCAGTGATTATGGGTCCATCGATTTCTTCGCAACAAAAAGCACAAACCGCCGCAGCCGATGGAGGCGGCGACCCCTACAAGTACAAAAATACAAAAACGCAATCGGACAATGAGGATTCGAAACGGGAAAAAGATTTCCATCAATCTAATTCATTAAGTGCAATATTGCTAACGGAATTCACGAAAGATTAATGTCATGCTTCACAGTAATATTTGGATTGTTTTCAGTTCCAATCTTCTCAGAAATGCTCTTGTACACGCTCATTTGAAAATCATCTTTCCAAAATTCTTATCTAAAGGCACTATATCTTTCACGGGTCCGCCTAATCTTGTAAAAACACTCTTTAACGTTTCCACTTTTACAACGAACAGATTATGGAATTCCCAAGATGAACAGTTCGTATGAAAATGTTCTCAGTATTGGAATAGAAATGTTACCCTAATATCAAACAGAAAAATCTTTGCACAAATCATATATAAAATAAGGCTTATTTCTTCATAATTTTTATGTTTGAGCAAAACTGCATGGTCCGTTGACAACCGTAGTCAACCGGGACTAGTTTACAAAATTTGCTCGATCATTTATGGACATGCTTCCAGCTTGAACAAGTACTGAAAAACGACACTATTAATGAATACCTCAACATTGATAGTTCGACGAGGCGTCTCTGATCGTGGTCTCTTTTTCAGACTGCTTCTGAAAAAAATCAAATTTGAATTGTTTGGGCATCTGTGTAAGCAGTAAATATTATTGTGGTATTTAAAAACATGAAAGAGATAAACAGTTTAGAGATCGTAATAGAAATATCGTCTCTCTGATTATCTCTTTCACGTTTTAAAAAAATTCCATCAAAGACAAATGACACGATATTAAAGAAGCTCACTAATGTTCTATCAAAGGTAAACACTGCTTCCTGGAATTCTCTTAACCAAGCAAATATTTGACTTCTGACAAACCAAAACAAATACGATCGCTACTCTTTCATTCTGTCCAATTGATACCAAATCCTATTGTTAGCAATATTGAACTATAATCATTTAAAAATTTGTCTGCGATAGAAAATAAAATCGAGTAATTTTTGAGGAGCAAAAACATACGTCTGTGATTCAGACATCTCAACTCCATAGTCTCGTGAAACTTGTTCCAGCGTGAAATTATCATCTTCTTCAGCTAAATGATACATAATATGTGGAAGAAATTAAAAGAAAAAACCTTAACTACTATAAAAACCCCTTAATTTTTCGTCAGCACCATGGCGGTACTGGTAGTATCCAGAAAAAATCAAGAACGAAATTTCGCAGTTGAGGACCTCGAAAATGCAGCTGACTCGAAAAAAGTCGAGGACGAGGAATCGAGGACAGGGTTACCGAAATTCCCCGTTCTCCACAACACAATGGTAACAATGAATGTTTTGCACGCATTTGAAAAAAGTTGATAACCTCGCTGTTGCTTGTGAAATGGAAACGGGTAAAGGTCATCTTCGGGACCAGGCGTAATGCGTAACTTGTACTCCACTTCCTAAGAATTGATAACTTTAAGCGATCACTTAAGATTAATTTGAATTGTAATCAACGTCTAAATTTCTTAATTTTTTTGAGCGTGAAATCGCACAATCTCAATTCATCCATGGACTTGGTTTAAGTATGATTTGCAAAACAGAAGAATTCGCTTATTGGTTAACGAAGAAAATTCTCATCTAAAAAGTTTCGTTATGAATCTTAAACTATTAATTGTTACCAATATGAAGTGATTTTCAACATCACCTCCGCATCGAAACTTCATTTTATATGAACTTTTTGCAATCGCTTATTGCTAAATAGAACCAGTTTGTTTTACGTAGCTGGAGTCAAGGTTGCATGCTGATCGCCTCGATAC